TATCAACATGATCCAGACTGAGGTAAGAAAACGAATTACCTAAAAGGATGGACATAATTGTATATTGATCAATAAGTCATCCATTTATTTAGATTGGTTGATATATCTTACATCATTCACATTTACATGTTTGGAGGCTGCTTAAAGTGTACTCTGAACCATGCCCATACATGTTTGATCCCCAAATCCAAATAGTTAATTTGACTAGTGTGATCTTTGCTATTGTATATAGGCATTAAAATTACATTTTAGCATTTCTTTCTCTTCCTAGACTACCAAGTGCGAGTACACTTTTAAATTATTGGTCTGGGTTTGGTTCTGATTTAAATGAAATGGGCTTTATTCATGAAACGTTTGCTCCATTGGCATAGAATTGTGCTAGGCTTTGGTGGGGAGCTAATCTAAAACCTAAAAAAGGGGGAAGCCTGAGATGCAATAACCAATTCACTTTGATTATGGTTCATTCATGATTTTAGAGGCCAAAATCGTCCCAGTTTTTATGGTTATAGTGGATTTAAGTATTTAAGTGACTTACACTTCTCTTTGAAAAGTAGGTTTACACATAATGCCAATGACTGGAAAATATACTTGAGGTTTTGACACCGCTAATATTGGAAGGCAAAGGCAAAGGCAAAGGCACAGCCAATCACACTGTATATACTGCCCATACTGTCTCACTGGACATATCAATAATTAGTGGTTATTTTTGGGGGCATATCACTGCTAAATTTGCTAATTTACATTTAATCATTAAGCAGAGGATTTAAAAATATGCCTTAAAGATACGAAGGCATTCAGCAATTCAAAAAGAAGAGGCAATACAAACAATAATTGTTTGTGAACAAGAAAAGATTGTGTCACTTCTGTCAAAATGAATTAACCATTTCTTTTGACGTCAACTCATATTTCAGTTTCTCATTCTATCTTCTCACTAATCAAGTGCTCTTTCAGTTGAGATTACAATTAAATATTGAATACGAAATGCCCATTTTACAGGATCTTTAAATGTAAGTCTGCGTTTTTTGGAACCTTCAGCATTTGTTTCTGTCTTTTTTAAATGGCATGTGACAATTGCTAGCAATTTCTCAGAGAAAATCATTTCCTTTCCATGTGTGTGTGTGTGTGTGTGTGTGTGTGTGTGTGTGTGTGTGTGTGTGTGTGTGTGTGTGTGTGTGTGTGTGTGTGTGTGTGAGTGCTATGATTTTGTTCATCTCATTCACTGTTGTGATGGATAGAATGCAGTTTTTTCATGTTTCTCACTGAATCTCCTGTTTTACTTAGAAATACAGATTAAATGCTTTTATTGCTTTTGAATATTAATTTTCAGCTTGACTAGGTTGAATGCTACCTTTCATGTAATATTTCATGACAGCTTTCAGTTTTATTTTTCGCCTTGCTTTCAACTAATCTATGTTCTTTATAAACACAAATATATAATAAACGGTCTTAAACACCGAGAGTTTCTCTGAGGCTGTTTAAAAGTTCTTTAGAAACACTAAAAATGTGTTTTGTATAAAAATGTGTTACTTTTGAATAATTTATATTCTCATTTTATTCCTTCCCCTTAAATTCAGTCAGTTATGTAACTTATTCATTGAGTTGTCAGAGAATGAGTTAGTGAACTGCATGTTAATAAATGGAATGTTTTTATAGTCACCCCTCAAGGGACCGGACAACAAAGAAGAAACCATAATTTAATGTACAATCACTGTTCACTTAATATCAAAAGATTGCTTTAAAAGACAAAAGCAAGGCCATGAAACAAAACTCTTCATGCTGTCTGGACTTCTTTATAATGCATAAGAGACCTTTGCCCTCATTGCTACACACTGTTGAAGCCAAGTCTTCTGTTCAATGCTCCCTCAATAGAGATAATAAAGACATCTGATAACAGACATTTATTCCTCTGATAAACTGACAGATTAAAAGATTAAAAGCTAGAATCAAAAGAAAAGGCTAACAGCGATCTAATTAAAATCAAGTAATAGAGATTACTAGTGATCAAATTAAGGACACGCATTCTATTTAGTGCTTGTGTAATGTGACAAGCAACCTTTTTTTTTGTTCCTTATAGTTATGACTATGATTTTTATGTCTTAATTTAAAGGGATAGTTGACCCAAAAGAAAATATTCTGCCATCATTTACTCACACTTCACTTGTTCTAAACCTATCTGAGTTTTGTTCAAACTATATATCACAAAAGAAGATGTATTAAAGAATGTTCAAATTCTAACCATTGACATTCATAGTAGAAAAAAAATAAATAAATCAGTCAGTGGTTACAGGTTTCCAACATTCTTCCATTTTTCTTCTTTTGTGTTTAACATAAAATAAAATAATAAAAACAGGTTTGGAAAAATTCAAGAGTTTGTGTCATATTGACAGAACATTTCTTTTTTGGGAGAACTATCTCTTTAAACATTATTTTGCAAATACTGAAAAGCAACAATTAATACCATTGGACTTGAGAGGTATTGTATGGCTTTTTAAGAGTTTGGACTTGTAAATGTCAACAGTCAAACAATAAAAAAAATGTATGAAGTGTGCTTGAAACCAGGTTTCTGCAAAGTTAACTCCAAGTGACCATTTAGAAATTATTAATAAAACCATTTTACCTGTGCATAACTTAAACCAGGGGTGTCCAAACTCAGTCATGGAGGACTGCTCGGCTGTCCTGCATTGCTTAGCTCCGACTTCCTTCAACACACATCCCTGAAGTGTGTAGTATATCTAGAAAGAGCTTGATTAGCTGGTTCAGGTATGTTTAATTGGGGTTGGAACTAAACTATGCAGGACACCGGCCCTTCAGAACTGAGTTTGGACACCCCTGACTTAAACAAATGTAGGTAAATCCTGATTTATCAATCAAATTTATTTGATTTGATACCTTAAATTTACTTCTAGTCCAAACTCATTTAAATACAGCTGTGCTTAAGTGCAGTACTCTTTTCAAATCTTTTTTTTTTTTTTTTATCTGTATCGCTTTTATAATGTTGCTTTTACATAAATGAGGAAAAAAAGAACTCTCACAAGCGAGCTATACCAAACAGCAACACATCAAAGTCATGCATATGTAGACAGACATTTGTTTGCAAATATTAACATTTTGACATTTGCATAATTTATTTTAAGGATCAGTTCACTCAAAAATGTATTCAATGAGATAAAGTAGCTTTAGATAACCTGGAACAACACTGAAGGCTTTATTCAAAAACGTGACAGGGTTGCTTCAGCAAAGGTGGTTTTCATTATTACACTTTTTGTTAGGTTCAGAGTTCTTAGTAATTCATCATCAAATTAAATGAAGCATTCACTTTTAGTGCTACTCTCTAGAGATTTAATTTTGTTATAAAATAATCAAACATTGTCAGATTCACTTTAATTTTTAATTTTTATTTTTTTGGATGCAATTAAATGCACTTTCAGCATTACTCCCTAAACATTTTACTTTGAAAGTATTGCAAAATGCGCAAAAGGAAACACCACAGGCACAGTTTTCCAGTGAGCCTGTATTAGTTCGCTCAGTCAGCAATCAGCCAAACACCCTAGAAACCACATACACTCTAAACACTTTAACTACTTCATTCAAACACTCGGGCAGCCATCCAGAAGTCTTATAGTGCCATGGCAGCTTGTTTGTGCCGGAAAGCATCAGTCACGATTTCTTCTGGAAATTTCTTTAATTATTTCACATTTCCCTATAGACGATTACTCTTATATGTCACAGTTTCTAAAGTCTAAAGTTATTCCCCCAGTGGCCATTTTTGATGAGTGCAAAAGTGTTGTAAATCTTTACGTGGGAATATAAATTTGATTGACTTTGACATTTTCCTCCTACACCGCTAAATTAAGCTAATATTTGCCCCCCTCGATTAATCTCTCTGACATTTTGTCACATCGTTTTTAATTAAAGCCAGATAAAAGCAAATAATTGGACACTGCATCATGCATGTTTTGACATGGCCTCATTTCTTTGAAGCAGTTTTCTGCCGTAGTCTTGTCCTGAACTGACTCTTCCTGTGTCAATCTCTGTGCATTCAGGAGCAGTATATATTCATCCATGATGCCATACTGGAGGCCTGTCTGTGCGGAGAGACTGCCATCCCCATCACTGAGTTTGGGCTCTCATATAAGGACATGTTGAGTGTGGATTCTCAGACCAACACCTCTCAACTTCGAGAAGAATTTCAGGTGAGTCAGATACAGCGAATGAGATGAAGTGATCAAGACAAACGACTGGATTTGCAGGATCCCATTAACCAGTTTGCATTAAATTATCAACCTCTAGAAAGGGTGAAGAAAGTTACACTTTTTTATCGGCAGTTTGTCATAATTGAGCCTTGACATAATTTTGTCAGTCATGGGTAGTTAAAAAATGCAGCCATTTAACGTAATATAATAAACTGATGTATGGTGGTAATTTGCTTTTTATAAAAAAATTTATCAACACATGTTTTAAACATTAACAGACAGCATTCATTAAATGTTAAAAAAATGTTACATTTTTTATTAAAATTTTAAATAACAGCTTTCTTACTGTATGTAGATTCAAATAAAGTTATTACTCCAGTAATTATTGCTTTTATTACCATTACCATTAATAATAATAAATGCAGCCGTGGTGAGCTGGAGAAGCTCATTTTAAAACTTAAAAATTGTTCTGACCCCAAACAGTAGTGTAATTTCTAATAAATAATTAATTGTTTTGTCTTTGGCATAATGACAGTACATAATATTTTTCCTGTTATTTTGTAAGATACTTGTTTTCAGTATAAAGTGCAATTTAAATGCTTGAATTAGTTAATAAAATTGATTATCGAATAGGTTAATTTAACTTGAAGTTAGATTATTAGGGCAATGGATTATTGGTGTACATACAACTTGTAAAATACACAACTCATTCATTGCTCTTTTTCACCAAAATAGTCCTGTATCTCATTTTGAGAACATCAAATAAAAGTACACTACAGTGTGTTTTATACAGAATTGTGTGTAACGTATTCCACAGTAACGTGTTATTGTATTCTAATGACATTTTTGAGAAACGCAGTAATGTAACGAATTACATTTTAAATTTGTGTAATTTGATTACAGTTACTAAAGTAAGTGTAATTGCATTACTTGCATTACAATTCTAGTTTTTATAACAAAAATTTGTTATTTTAAATCAGTTTCCACTGCAACGTCAGTTATTAAGCATGCACTTGAACAGAAAGCAATCCACAACAATACTCGTCACCAAGAAGGACACCGGAACGCCAAAACATGGCAGCCCAACTCAGCCTAAACAGGCTAAATTGGATTTTTGTGCCGGATCGGGAGTGAATGTATCTTCTGAATGTGGACAAGCATAGCTGCTTGGGGAAGTTCACATATCTCTCCTTTTGCACGCGTGCATTTTCCAAGCGCACCAGTTGTAAACCTAGAGTCAAGTGACAAGAACTGACCGATCAGCTTTATACTTTGCAAGGAGTATGCACATTTTGGTAGACTAATTACCTCAGACAAACATAAAACACACAAACAATGCAGTGCTTTTTCATACTATGGATGTCAGTGCTTACAGGTATCCAGTGTTATCCTTGTTTTCTTTTGTGTTAAAAAAAGACGAGAGAAGTTTCTGTTAATATGTCAAGCTGCTATGATCAACCCTTTGTAATGTCTTTCAATGAACATTAAATTACTGAAAGAGCTGCAGTTTGGTTTGTATTTTTATAGGTATATTTTAAATGTTTTAATCTAAATACTTTTTACATTAAGTAATTAGTAATTTAATTTAGATTACAGTTTTTAAGTAGTAATCAGTCGTTTGTAATCAAATTACTTTTCAAAGTAACTTCCCAACACTGGTTTTATGACGGATGCATACAATCTTTAAATTGAGTGAACTGGACCAAACATTTTTTGCCAACATTGTCCACATATAATTATACACGTTGTTGACATTTAAAAATTTAGCTTTGTTTCAAAGATTCGCCTGAGAAAACTGACCCCAGACCTTGCAAACAATTGGTAGAAATGCTGATGCTTTTTTTTTTTTGCGCAAATTTCCCCTCAATAATATGTCTATATCATTTTTGTGACCCATGAGCTGAGATATCATTATCATGCTCATTGCATATTACATTTAGCAAGTTAATATCCAGCAATATTACTGTTGATTATAGTGTATTTGCAGTCCAATATAATGTTGTGGACTAATGTACTGTGTAAGTAACTTGTTCAAGTACATTGACTACATCTCATTTCTTAGACCCTGGATGAGTTTGTGCACACTGCTAAAATACATGTAGAACATTGAAATAGTACGATATGAAAAACTTCTAACCACATTAGGAGACTAAAAGTAATATATGCATTATCTTTTAAGTAAAGTTTGAGCTGAGATGATGTGATGTTTGGTGTGGAATTGAAGTTGTATTTGGGAAAATTAGGAGCACCGATTAAAGTGTGAGATAAAAACCTCATACAGAATTATTTCCCCTCTATTATTTTACTATATAAAGAGCACACTGTGAAATGAGGTAGTCTCCACTTGTTACCCTAAAGAGCTATTTCAGTCTAAATACAACCATACAAATTAACTGATATAAGAAAGAAAGAAAGAAAGAAAGAAAGAAAAAAAGAAAGAAAGAAAGAAAGAAAGAAAGAAAGAAAGAAAGAAAGAAAGAAAGAAAGAAAGAAAGAAAGAAAGAAAGAAAGAAAGAAAGAAAGAAAGAAATATAAAAACATTTTTTTCAAGGATGGTAAAAATCGATTTTAGCCTTAATAAGGTTTCCTTAATCTCTCCTCTTTTCTTTTTTTACTTTGTTTATTGAAATGAATCTATTACTTTTTTTTAAACTGACATGCATATATTTTAGCTTGATTCTATAAAATTTAAATATAGGGTTTAGATATTTAAAATACTGCCAACCACCCAGTTTCCATTTAGATGAACTGTATGCATTTTATGATGTTCCATTACAATCATAATTGGTGTTGTAGTGCATGTACAGCACTGGGTGTTTATGCAAATTATATCATTTTATTTCATTCAGGTTAAGTGCTGCTTACTAACTCAAAGTGTGATGCAGTCAACCAGCTGTAGAGTCCATATTTGATCATTTAGAAAGAGTCTAATGAGGTGTTCCCTCACCTTCAGTTCCGCATGTGTGTTTTTAACATCAAGCTATTAATGGATTCATGCCTAACACCTTTAGACAGTATACCAGTCCCTGTCCTCCTGATAACACAGCTCTCAGAGCCAATGTAATTTTAATAATAATAATTGCAATGTCCCATTTGTGCTGTCAGAGCCAATCAGGACTGAAGCACTTCAGCCATCAAGTGTAATAATCTGCATACTGTAATTCTTACTTTGATTCATTCACCTCAAGGCTCATAGCAGAATTATTCATATGTGACCAGTCTGCATTTATTTTCAGCCATTAAGCTTTGTAGCAGTTTTTTTTTTTTTTTTTGCCTGAGACAAAATCACTTCAACTTGAAATGCCTTACTCTGCTTTTACAGTGTAATTAATGAGTATACTAAATCTAAGGAGTTTTTATTCTTAATATACCTTGCTAAATCTTTTAGGGCATCGGCCTAGATAAAATGATGAAATTAAAACATAAATAATAATGTCATAATATAAAAGATAAATAGAAATAAATAATAAAAAAATAACTCACACAAATTAAGCAGTTCAAATGTTTGCATGATCCCTTAATATAATGTGTTGTTAATTGTTTGCTTAAATGTTAATGTTATTCTAAAATATTAGCTAAAAGGAATTGGATTTATGAAATGTGGTTGAAACTGGAGAAATGTTGCAAATACTGTACTATAACATTTTAAATGATAAAAAGACCAAAAAAAATTTATTGAATGTAATATTTATTCATTTGTATTTACTTACAGCATTTTTCGAATTGACTTACATTTTTGTAATTTTGTCATGTGATTATGCCCTTTAGATTAGTTATGTAATTTTTTGGGTCTGTACAGTCAAGCAGAGTAACCCATTCCTTAAAATACGTTATGTAAACAAACTTCCCCCCCAAAAAAAAGATAATAATGATTAAATCCTTATTTTGTTATTGTAATTTTGTACAAAGCAAACACTATCAATTTCTTTGGTGTAAATACAGCACTATAAAAGAAAGATCGACTTGTCACTTACCTGATTTATAATGTTTTTTTCAGCTGTTTTCAGTTTGAAACTTACCTTAAGAAAACACGTGAGAAAAGTAAAAGTTTTTCTCCCTCTAAGGACTTGTTATGTGGTGTCTGTCATCATCTAGTGGCAGAAAAAAAAATATATATATATATATAATATAATATAATATAATATAATATAATATAATATAATATAATATAATATAATATAATATAATGTAATATAATATAATATAGGGGCGACACAGTGGTGGAGTAGGTAGTGCTGTCGCCTCACAACAACACTGGTCACTGGTTCAAGCCTCGGCTGGGTCAGTTGGCATTTCTGTGTGGAGTTTGCATGTTCTCCCCGCGTTTGCGTGGGTTTCCTCCAGGTGCTCCGGTTTCCCCCACAAGTCCAAAGACATTCGGTACAGGACAATTTGGTAGGCTTAATAGTCCACAGTGTATGTGTGTAAATGAGTGTGTATGGATGTTTCCCAGTGATGGGCTGCAGCTGGAAGGGCATCCACTGCTTAAAACATATGCTGGATATGTTGGCGGTTCATTCGGCTGAGCTGACCCTAGATTAATAAAGGGACTAACCCGAAGCGAAAATAAATGAATGAAGAATATAATATAATATAATATAATATAATATAATATAATATAATATAATATAATATAATATAATATAATATAATATAATATAATATAATATAACGAGAGTGAGGAAAATGAGATTAACACATTATTATTTACTAAGAATATCTTAGTAAAACGTTGCATAGATTTGAATGGATTACAATGAAGAAGATACTCATTAGAAGCAGGTTACAAGTTAGCAAATAGTGCAAGGCAGGTTATTTCCTTTTATCAAAACTGTGCCCCCCATTTTATCCACCCATCTTTGCACTTTAGTCGGTGAATGATTTTAGATGTCTTTAATTCTCTGTTTATTTATTCACAGTATTTTGCACTTCTTCAATGTTTCTTTGTTGGTCTTTTTTGCCTCGGGCTTTTGCCTGCATAGTTTTACTTCCTCATTCTCCCATTGTCTTTCTTAATTATTTAATTTCACATTTTTGGATTTCATTCAGACACCTCTTAATCCCTCGTCCTTTCTCTATGTCTGTCTTTGTTATCTTCAGACTCTAAACTCTGTCACTCCGCACCTGGATGTGGAGGAGTGCAGTGTCTCTCTGCTGCCCCGGAACCGGGAAAAGAACCGGAGTATGGACGTGCTGCCTCCTGACCGTGCACTTGCGTTTCTTGTCTCCAATGAGGGCGACGGCAACAACTACATAAACGCAGCATTGATGGACAGCTTCCTTCAGCCTGCTGCATTTGTGGTGACCCCACACCCCCTGCCCACCACCACCACAGACTTCTGGAGACTCGTGTTTGACTACGGCTGTACCTCTATCGTCATGCTCAACCAACTAAACCAGTCCAACTCAGCATGGGTAAGAGACTGATTTACTTCCAAATTACACAATGGAACTCATTTTATCTATCTATCTATCTATCTATCTATCTATCTATCTATCTGTCTGTCTGTCTGTCTGTCTGTCTGTCTGTCTGTCTGTCCGTCTGTCCGTCCGTCCGTCCGTCCGTCCGTCCGTCCGTCCGTCCGTCCGTCCATTTATCTATTTATCATCTATCTATCCATCCATCCATCCGTAGTTTGCCCCTAATAATGATATATCACAACAGAGGTGATTCTGTGATAGACAATTTATTGCAAGAAAACCATCCACAATATTTGAGGATATCTGTAAAGGAAGGTGAAAAATAAAGATAGATTTCACTATGTTGTATATTGTATATATTGTAGAATTGCTACAGTGTGCAACTAGTGCACACCTGTCAAACAAGCTTGATAAAGTTTATGAGCAGAGAATACTTTGTGGCTAAAACAGTCAGATCTCTAAATTAGTCATAGCATCCACATCTCAAATTTATGCAAATTACTTTTTGCAAACATAATTTCAAACATTTCTGTAAACTTAAGACACATTATACTTTCTGAAAAGAGTTGTAATTTTACCTGTAATTTCTGTAAATCTGCTCTGTGTGAATGCAGAAGGAAAATTTGAGCATGTACAGAATGTGCTGATATGAGATTTCTACTTATGGACAATCAGAACATTGTGATGCTGATAACTCATTTGAGCTCTTTATCAAAATATAGCCTTTGAACACTTTGTCCAGACACATTTAGTAGATACTTGTTGATCAGACAGCATTTCTATGTTTCTTCTTAGTGTGGAACTCTAGCGTGGCAGAAATAGACCTTTTGTGTACATAGAAAAAAAAAATCTTTTTTTTTGAGTGGAGTTCAGAGTTTGCTCGCAGTTTTCATAAACTCTATGTACCTACAGGTCAAAACTTCAAACCTTACATAATATAGATCTGAACAAGGCAGAGATTGTTTCATTTAATACCATATTCAAATATAGTCCTGAACCTTTTAAATTAAAGTAATTAGATTTAGCTGAATGTCTGCAGAGAGCATTTAAAGTTTATTCCCATTCATGCAAAAGTGGACAACAGGGGAATAAATATGTACTATAATATAAACATGGACCAATACAGAAGTTAATTACGTAAAGCAGAGAAAGCTCATTCTTGTTTCCTGGTTACATTTACATATGAAATCATTATATAATGTTGTAAGTCCTTGTTAGGTCTAAGTTAAGTGATAGTGTGAGTTTGCTTGGTAAAAAATAAGCCTGAGAAGTACTAAACAATGGTTTGATTTGAAATTTAAATGAACTGTTTGGTGTTTTTTATTCATTTTATTTTGTTTTCATTTTAAACCAACTATTAATAAAACTTTATACAGTATATACAGTATATTCTCTGTGAGCAAGTCTGCCGGTAAAAGTCTGGCCAAGATGCTGGCCAGAGTTGTCTTATTTTCATTCCAAAGAGACAAAGGAAATCTCCTGCTTAAACTTTGCCCTGAAACCATTGGTCAGTCAACAGATAATAGGTGTGATCTGACCAATATGTAAAAATGCATCTACGTACTCCCTAAAGTCTGGGCAGAAGGTTCATGGCAGAAGGTCTCCACTGAAGTTTCTGCCCAGATTTTAGGGAGACCACGTTTCTGTTCCCACGTGACTTGCCTGAGTCCACGTTTCTTATTTTTTTGCAGCAAATTAAACTTTGTTTTATGTTTGTTTCTTGCGTATTCTCAGAGAAAAGACTTCTTAAAAGTCTCCATCTTCTAAGCATCAGAGAAACTCCCACGAGAGAGACAGACCCACTAAATCCAGATATTTAGTTATGCGTTAATGTTTTGCCCCTTTATTAAAAACGGTGTTTTTATAGTCTTGGTAGTTCTTATTGGTTTTGTGAAACTGAGTTAGATTTGCCATTCTTTTATTTAAACTCTTTATTTCCTCGCTTTCTTTCTTTTCTATGTTTTGTTGTTATGTTTTGTACGATTGTTTGTTATATGTTAGACTAGTCAATAAATCAAGCTATACAACCACATTGGATTGACTTTGTTTTGCTTCAACGAAAAAGTCACTTTAACGATAGATCCTTGCTACAAGTTTATTAGGTTTACTAAAACTTCTAAACTATTTATTTTCTTTCACAAGAAGTAGTTATAATTCCCTTTTCTGAATAAATCAATAATTACAGAGTCCACTCAGACGAGCATGCAAAGTCATTGCTATATACATTTTGTTACATTAACTATAAGTTAATTATGAATATTCATCATTAATAATAACTTGTATAACTGAGCTAATTTTGCTACAAGAAGATCATCTCATCTAATGTTGTAGATGTGGTTCATTCCGCTGTGGTGATCCCTGATTAATAAAGGAACAAAGCCAAAAAGAAAATTAATTAATTATCAGGTTTGAATAATATAACAGGGCTCGAAATTAACCTTTTTGCTTGAAAACCCACCAATTATGAGCAGCATTACTACAAGTTTTATACAAACATATTTATTGCATTTGAAATCAACAGTAATCAAACCAACATAAAAAAAATATATATATATATACAAGTGTGAGGAAAATATGTCTCAATGAAATCCCGTTATCACAAGAAAATAGATTTTTATAACATAACTGAGTGACCAAAAGGTACACGGACTGCTCACCGACCCTGCACGCACTGCTTGACATGAATGATTCTGTTAACGATATAACTGTGCTGTTCTCATGGGTGCTGTCTGATATTGCACTGATGCGTTTGACATATACAGTACCTTATTATATGCATACGTCATGTTAATAGCAATACCGGTCTTTTCATGAGTAACGATATTTGTTTACTCAGTGTAAGCCCGTTTGCGATGATGTACGTGGTGTTACATTTGACATATAACTGCCACTTGCACGGCAGACAGCATCTGGCAATTATATGAAGGATTAAACAGAAGCTTTCGTGCTAGATGTGGCAAGCAGTTACCTGAATATCAATCCCACAGACTTTTCATAGCATACTTGAAGCCAATGGAAGTCTTTTATCCACTCTTGGAAAAGTGTAGATGGTGGATTAACATTCAGCATATGATCACTAGTAAGATGTGTCATTATTTGTAACTTCAGATGCCATGGTTTCTAAAACAAAATCTGTCAGTGTTATCTTCATTCTCATCTTCAGCGCTTTACAATTTTTCGCGGTAGTAGCTCTCTCTGTCATCCCAAGCCTGAAGGCATTGACTGAGTGATTGACAGCTGATATTTCATTGCTAGAGCAGTGGGCCAATAAGAAGAGCGCAAAGGCGGGGCAAGCATTACGGACTTGGCTTTGTTTACTGTAGCAAGTTGACATGACAACTGTTTTAAACCATTCCTGAGCACTGCGTTTCGCGTTTCAAGTGCAGAGATGCATTCTGCGTGAATGTCTCCCAAATCCACGCATGTGGTGAACATTTTACTGTAAAAACGGGTCACACACAACAATTTTATGCACTCGCACAAATGCTCCCAAATATATTTTGAGATCGCATAGATAAAATTTCGGGTGCATATGAGACCAAAATAATCACAATTTCGAGCCCTGTATAAAATGATTAATTTTGACTTGATTGAACAAACTTAGTTATGCACTTATGTTTTATTTAAAATGTAAATTTAAAAAGGTTAGTATTTTAAATTTGTTCTCACTTTTATTCTAAAACATGTTCGGCAAAAAACAGTAAAAAACAGGTTTGTGCCTTATGCAAATATGGAATGAATATAATATTTACATATTTAAAGACCCTCTGCAGACTTTTGTTGTAAATTCTTTAAGCATGTATACATTTAATTGTATTTTTATCTTTATTTATATATTTTTTCTATAGTTCAAACCTTAGACCCCATAATTCTCACTCTGGTTAAACAGAAAACACACGCCATTCCTTTCATTTGAGACTCTCTGCACTGATAATGTGCTTGTCTTTTCTGAATATACAATGGGAAGGACAAACATACAAAGAAGCCAGCCTTTCTTTCCCCCCTGCTGGAAACGTCTGTGACCCTTTGGCCATGATAAAATATTTCTAGTGAACATCTGAATGCAAAATTAAAATGTCATGTTTAAGACTCACTCGATAATACCCGTGTTTTTGTGAGGTGATCTTTACAACATTATTTTATGATTATTTTTTGTCTCCCTTCTGATGTGTGTGAATTCACCGAAGGCATTTTATCACTCAGTTAGTCATCTAACTTTTATGAAATATATTTGTCCTCTTTCTGCATTTCTTTTGTGTGTGTGTGTGTGTGTGTGTGTGTGCGTGTGTGTGTGTGTGTTTGTATGAATATTTATCTCTTTCCACAGCATGTCACTCTGTTAATGCGCATCACTGTGACAAGGATTTATCGCTTTCCATCTCATCTATATCAACATCTCTCTATCTCACTGTTGATACATGGCTGAAACTGTTTCACGCCTGCTCGTTTCAAATAAAATGGTGCTGGATTAGATCTGTCTGCAACTGCTGTGAGTGAAAATTAATTGACACATTGAGCAAATGGTAATCCGACGAAAGATTGGACTAGAAAATGCAGCCGATATGGAGAAATGAGCAAGGATTATTTATCTTAGTGGGCCTCAATTGGATTTTCAGTGCTGATTAGCCTATCTCCGGCGTTTCCTTGACTCCATTATGCTTTCAATGTCCATCTTCACCCTTCGCTTAATCGCAAGATGCCCATTTTCTCTGCCTGCTATCTATTCATTTATTTGGGGGAAAAAATATCATTCATATAGCTATACAGGCATTAATTTGAATATGTATATTCAATGAATATGTGTGGGAGAAAATGAATAAAAAATGTTGGAGCTTATCAAAAATAAATTAAATAAACTGAACGAATGAATGAATGAATGAATGATTAAATGAATGAATGAATGAATGAAGAGCAAGTACTTCTTTATTTTAATATACAGTCAGTTTCAATTTATTGTAATTAACAATTAAATAAATTTACAAAGTATTTCTTAGCTAATTACATTTTTTGCTAAAATAAACTATAGTATAGATGTAATATTATATAAGGGACCTGAGGGGCCGGCGTTCTGTTAAAACAATGGGTCCCACTATATTAAAGAGCCCATATTATACATGAAATAGGGTCATATCCTGGTTGTAAGGGTCTCCAACAACAGTCTAATATGCATGCAAGGTCAAAAAACACTTTCATGGTCTTATAATCTGCATTTATTTTTACCTAATTATCCCAGCGACTCCTGTATGAATCGTCCAGTGATTCATTTGTTCCCAAACCCCTCCTTAGCGCGGAGCTAATCTGCGCTGATTGGACCGATGACAGTCTGTCGCGATTGGTCGACTGCCTTCAGTCAGAGAGGGAAATGGCCAATAGCTAATCAGCAATTTAAAAAGTAATCACAGTTCATACACGCTCCATAGTGTAGACGTGGATTTTAGCTGCCACACTATGGCGAGTGGATAGTGCCACGGATAACCGAACGAAGGAGACAGTCGTGTACTCGCCATACCACACACACACAAAAACACACACACACCTCCGGATGACAACGCTCCCGCTTCCGCCCGCACCCGCCAGGTTTTAGCCTGAGAACCCGCTCCGTTTTCTGCCCGCCGCGCCCGGTCCCGCTAGAGCGGAGAACACAACCAAAAATCACCCAGTATACAGTCCAGACAGCCAAGCTGTCTGTATAAACACACACACACACAGCACAAAGCTCGTTCGTTCGTTCGCTCTCTCTCTCTCTCTCTCTCTCTCTCTCTCTCTCTCTCTCTCTCTCTCTCTCTCTCTCTCTCTCATACGCGCGCGTGCGCACTAACACACACACAAGCACCACGCAGACTCTCTCTTTCTAATTCGCATAGCAATATCCGTGATATTGCTAGACAGCCCGCTCCCGTCCCAAATTAAACCCGTTACCGACCGCTCCCGCGATTTATTCAGAAATTTATTCCCGCGGCTGTCCCCGCGCCAGATTTCTGCGGCGCGGGAATAAATTTCCGAATAAATCGCGGGAGCAGAACTCTAGCACGGAGCTCCATAAACAAACAGCACGCGTCGCGTTTTTAACGTGACTTTGCACGCGATAAGATAAAATATCCAGTTAACCTGATACAGTACACGCGGTTACAAGTAACAAATCACAACTAAATACATTTGCAAGCTAGAGTAAACGAGGCAACAACTTTAACCGCACGTACTTACACTTGAGAAATGGAAGAAACCCATCCTGACGTCCATCAGTTACTCTTTACTGATCCTTCCTTTAACAAACTCAGATGAAGTATTCTTTGTAGCATGTAGCTTCCAGAAGTTTCCAACTGCTTGGTTATAATGCTGATGTTTCATCTTTGGGTAGAGACTCAATATAATGTCCATCTGCAGTGTGACTTCAATCGACCGGCATGTTTGTGTGCGTGTGTTTGTGGGTGTGCGTGTGTTTGTGGGTGTGTGTGTGTGTCTGGGTTTCTGCGTCAGAGGGCGGGGCCTCAGGTTTGAAATCTCCCGGGTTTGCGCGTGCACGTGAATAACTTGGTTTCGTTCGTACATCATGGCGAAACACCTAATGAGTCGGTATCAAGGCGACTCGTTTGAAGCACTATGAGTCGACTCTTTTATAGATGAATCAACCGTTTTAAACACTGTATTCTTACAGATTTAAGCCTTAGCTGGATACTTCACTTCACTTAGAGCTGTGTTACACACTACATGGAGGGGAATTTTCAAAAACCCATAATATGGGCTCTTTAAGTGTTGCTTATACCTGTGAACTTACATGGTAACTTGGTGTGTAAATAGTTTGTAACTACTGTGTATGTACACACCGGTACATAATATTTACTTGTGTAATACTGGTGTAACTACACACATGTAACAACCCGCTAAAGAGTATGAGTAAGTTTAAACGTGTAGCAGGAAATTGGTAACAACTCTAAGAAAGTATACATCTGTAACAAGAATAATGTAAGTGCATTGCGTAACAATAATATGTACTTGCAGATGTTTTCCCACTCCAACACCTGTTTGCATACCATGTACTTGTGAACATTGTATGGCAGAACTAATTCTACATTAGAAGGTTCAACTTGTGATACCAGTGTACTTTCATGGTAACTCCTAAGAAACTGTCCACTCAATATATAAAGTGTAGAAGTGTCACAAATTACTGTGTATTATATAAAAAAATAATCCTCTGCGCAACTGGTTCACAACATTTTTATTTTTTTTTATAAGTGTACTTCAAAAATGTTTACAAACTACTGTGTGATATAAAAGATAATCCAACACATTATTAACAATGTACTGACATGGTAACTCAGGAACTGTCCACTTGTGTCCTCATCTAACTGTACCAAGGGGAAACGCATTGTGAATCCATAGGAATAGCTTATTTAATATGTAGTGTAACTTTATTTCATTGCAATTCCAATACAAAGAATACTGTAATTTACACTGTGACTGTAAAGTCAGATTGCTCAACAGAGTGCCAGCAATCACAAAATAAAAAATTTAAAAAAAGAGCAATAAAGAAAACAAGCAGTGCTGAGAATAATATCCCAGCATCTCTCAAAGCAAAACTGTCACATTCATATTTGGTTTTTACTCTGCAACATAAAGTTTTACACAAGTACTTTGAGTAAGCTTTGAATAGGCCCACACGGAATCTGCACGCGCAGAATTCCGCAGATAATCTGCAGATTTTGTTTATTTACTTGTATGAATGTGTGTAAATTAATATTTGTGCAGTTTTTAAATTAATTACACTAATATTATTGACTAATGTGAAAATCTGATTTATGTACAACAGTTTGTACAGTAATATTTTCTGTCTTTTAGTAGAGATATTACATGAGAGACTTGCTTTGTTTACCAAATATAGTAAATCTAATTGGATGTGCATTTTAAACATTAAATAAAAGTTAAAAAGATATTATTCTTTATTTCATATATTAAGGTTTTTAGTTATGATAAACCCAAAATAATTCCACAGATTTTTACTAAAATCTCTGAAGAAATAACAAAAAATGTCTGCAGATTCCGTCTGGCCCTAGCTATGAATTTATTAAAACAAGTAAATTGTTTGCACTATCATGGAATTTTAGAATCTGAAGAAATGTCACAATATAAACAGCAAATAAAAGAGAAGAAAATGGCATATATATTTTCAATGAACCCGGTAGGCTTTTCTAATGTCATGAATCAGCTGTGCTAAGGCACCTTTTCTATTTTGCATTCCAAGCCAGTAGTGCCACTGAATGAATGTCAAATGTTCTCTTAATAGTTTTGTAGTCTTTAATTTGTGACCAATTTACACTTTATAGTGAGTGGACAGTTCCTGTAGAGTTACCATGTAAGTATACAGGTATCAACAAGGTAAAACCTTCTAATGCAACAGTAGTTCTGCTAATGTTCATAAGCACATGGTATGCAAACAGGTGTTGGAGCGGGAAAACACCTGCAACATGTTGTTAAGCAATTCACTTACATAATTTGTGTTATAGATGTGAACTTTCTTAGTGTTGTTAAGCAATGTTCTGTTACACATTTGACCTTACACATACTATAAGTTCACTGTAAGTTCACAGGTATAAGCGACACTTATTATAAAGTGGGACCAAACAATGAAATGCACATACATGGTATGTCTTTAGGGAAGTGTAGATTAAAGGCCTGCGTGAACAAACACACAATAATGGTGGAGCAGAAAAGTGTGAATTTACTTCACATTACAACCAATAGCAGAGACGTGTTTTACACACACAGCAAATTCTACACACTGTACACCCAAATGGCAAGCCACCGACAACATGTCACCACTTTCTTACAGGTACTGTGTACTTAGAAGGTGACAGTGCAAAATACTGACCCGGCATGCAAATTACAGCAAGATGATACTTTTTTTGGTTACTCAAAAAGAACTTTAATTTATGATAGTGTGTCCTTTGTTCATAAATCAAATGAAATTATCTGCACAGAGCTTTACATGTCATTGTCTTCTTTTTCTCAGCCTTGTCTACAGTATTGGCCTGAAACGGGAATGCAGCAGTATGGACCCATGACTGTGGAGCTGCTCTCCAGATCTACCGATGAGAATGTCGTCACTCGTCTATTCAGGGTGAATAACATCACACGGGTGAGTCTATACTGTAGTAGAAAATAAATAATTTGCAGAAATATGTGATATCCTATGTGCCTTAATATTAGCCAGTGTTAGAACTAATATTTAAGTACACAAACCTTTTCAGGCAAAAGACGTGAATGCATATCCATCCCCCCCAAAAAAAGAAAGGTTCAGGACTAACCCAGAAAGATTTATTAACTGAGACTAACGTCTACATGATTTAGACAATTATTGCTCTTCTAATTAAATGAAAGCAGAGGTATAAAAGTGTGGTCAGTCTCCATTTCACACACTAGCACAACGGGCTCCACATCGCCTGAATTAGACCTGTTTACTTCTCAATGGATGAGGGTGTGTGAGAGAGATAAAGTTCTACGTATTGTGTCAGTCTCTCTCAGTGTGGTCTGTGCTTCTGATATTGACTTGTCTAAATAAAAGAACACTTTCTCACACCTCTAGCTGACCTTAGTCCACCCCGATGGCTTCATCGTCCACATCCTGTCTCTTTGAAATCTTGTCTCAAGCATTCCACCTCTCATTGCTCGTCCCCTTTAGCACTCCTGTCAGCTAGGCTGTCAACCTTTAGCAACGTTCCCAACCGTGCCTGTGTCAGTATGGCTAGCCCCTGTCAGTCCCCGCGTCCCCTCTGTCTCTTTAAGACTCTGCAAGCTGGGCAAACATTTCATGTCATTGTCAGAAATTGTCCCATACTGCCTCTTCACAGGACCCTAGAGAGAACCTCCCATGTTGGAACGCAGATTCTCGCATCCCCAAAAAGGTACACGACTAAGGTGTTGAGCGCTATTGATAGATCATGTTGCTAAACGGTGCCATCTCTAGATAAAGAGGAAAAAAAGCAGCCCCCAGACTCAACAATGCTTTTGCAATTTGTTTCAGAGTAATTTAGATGATAATTTATGCTCAAAGGAACCAGTCAATGACTTGCAGATGAGCTGAATATTGAGTGCTGTTTTGAATTGAGAGGTACAGTTAGATGTTTCGCGAGCTTGATACAAATAAAGGAAAAATCAATTTGTTTTCAGTTAAAAGTGGATGCTTATTCTTAACAATACAACCCAGGCTCATTAGAAAAATCATGCATTATTGCTAAATAACATTGATAAGTTTTATATTTCACAATGTTATCAAGGTAAATTGCTCTGTAAATTGTGCTAAAAGTGTATTTAATTTTAGCTGAAACTTTTAAAAGTGAGCCTAAATTTGTTTTCATTAAACTGATTATAAATGAACCAACCACTTCCACTCACCACTCAACTGATAACAGTTTTTAATAATTAACTGCAGTGCCCTATAATCATAACTGTGGGAAAATGAATGAAAGTTGTTTTTTTTTTCTATCACCACTATTACTTTAAAACTTCATTGATGTGTTGGCTTATAGAGTTCAGTACACAATGTAACAGTTATATGATCTTTTCTTTCATGTTTTCAAATATCAAAATTACTATTATATTTTACAGATTGTTTTTTGTTTATCTTTTCGGCAATCCTTTTAAAACATCAGTGTGACCAGTATAGTAAGGTGACCTCAATGTAAGGATGTTTCTGAAAGACTGAATTGCATACATTGTTTAAAAGGAGAGAAACAAGTTTAATTTTGAATGTGTGTGCTTGATCCAACTTTGACATTTGATAAAAAGTTGTTTGCTTAATTATTCTCAATTCATAGATTAGTTTAAAAAGGATAGTCCACATCTGCCATCATTTACACACCCTTTACTTGTTCAAAACCTATTTTAGTTTTTTTTTTTCTTCTTTTCTTCTGTTGAACACAAATGGGCGGCACAGTGGTTCAGTGCTTAACACTTTTGCCTTACAGCAAGAAGGTTGCTGGTTCGAGTTCTGGCTGGGTCAGTTTGCATGTTCTCACCATGTTCTCGTGGGTTTCCTCCAAGTGCTTAGGTTTCCCCCACAGTCCAAAGATGTGCTATAGGGGAACTGAATAAATTAAATTGGGCGTAGTGTATGTGTGTTGGATAAGTTGGCGGTTCATTCTGCTGTGGCAACTCATGATGAATTAAGTTATTAAATCAACGGAAAATGATTGAATGAACACAAATGAAGATATTTTAAGAAGTTGCTTGTAGCGGACACCCATTGACTTGACATTGTATTTTTTTCTACAATGGGTTTTGATGTGTACCAGCGATAAGATTTATTTTGTAAAATCTTATTTTATGTTCAACAGTAGAAAAACATCATGCAGGATAAAACCACATGTGGGGGAATATGATGAGTTTCTTTTCTTACTTTTTTTTTTTTTGGTTAAACTATCCTTTTAATTAGTTTAATTATTACCATTTTCTTAAGTTTGAAAATAGAAACAATAAAAAATGTGATGTTATGTTTGTAATAACTAATAAATAAATTGTATAAATAAATATTAAAATAAATGTATAATAAATGCATTTTGTAATAAATAATACAATAAAAATAATAATATGCTTGTAATAATAACTGACAAATTCCTTGACTTCTCTTACATTATTTCAATAATTTTCTCTTGTGGTCTTGGTCTTTCTTTATTTATCTTTCAGTTGCAGGAAGGTCATCTGGTAGTGCGACATTTCCAGTTCCTGCGCTGGTCAGCTTACCGTGAAATTCCAGACTCAAAAAAAGCCTTTCTTAACCTGCTGGCACAAGTGCAGAAGTGGCAGAGGGAGTGTGGCGATGGTCGCACTATTGTGCACTGCCTGTAAGTTTGTTTTTATACAGTTTTACTCCCAGATGTTAATTGGAAAGCAATTACATTTCCTTGTGGCAGTTATACAATCCAGATTTCTTTTGCTCCTTAGCTCCAGTGAGTGCCGTATTTTACCAACAGTGAAAATCTGCCCAATGCCCTTTATCTCTAGCTTCTTTTTAATGTCTTCATTTTCTTCAGTATTTAACTTTGTAGCACTGCAGCCTCAGGATCCATACCTGCCACCTTCACGTGTCTGTAGTTTAAAATGCTGTCCTCTATTAATAAGAGCATAGCACAGATGCAGTGTATTCAGCTTCAAAGCAAATGTGCTGGGTGCCTTTCTTCTATCAGCAGCCTCAGGGAAATGATCTTAGTTCAGTAGGATGTGACATTTTTATTGCATGACTTTTCCCCAGAGCGTAGTGGTACTTTCCATTCCTTCATGCTCAAACGTATTGCAGATCCCTGACAGCCTGTGGTGGCACAAATATGGCTTTTTCACTGCTATCCCCTCCAGACATCTCTAATACAATAATCCACACAAGCTTTGAAAGTGTACAGCGCAGATCCCTCTCCTTTATGTGTTACAAGTCACTTCTTTTCTTGAAGATGCTAATGAATCAATGTTTCAATGTTTTTTTTTTAAGGAATGGTGGGGGACGTAGTGGCACTTTCTGTGCTTGCACCATGATAATGGAGATGGTGCATCATCACAACATGGTGGATGTGTTCTACGCTGTCAAGACTCTCCGCAACTCCAAGCCCAACATGGTGGAGTCTATGGTTAGTGTGCACAATTAAAAGAACAAACCCTAAGCCAAGTTCAGACTACATGATTTTAGCCTCAATTTTGACTCGCTGACAGGTTTTGAGAAATCGCAGACAAATGTCTGAAATCACAGGCAAAGCTGTGCTTTTTTACATAAGTAATAATCACAAAGTGTAAACTATCAAAGACATCTGAGAGAATCGCAGATGAGTCGCCGACACCTGTAAGATATTTGGCATGCTAAATATTTGGAGTTTTCGGAGATTCAAATGATGCTGTGTGAAATGTGTACTGATTGAAAATAATATCAGCCATTACCTACAGCCAATGAGAGAGCAGCATCCACTAGTATGGGTATCAGCAGGTCAGCGGGAGGATAGGGGAGTAGTTTAAAGTGCCTCTTTTCAGTCCATTTGGAACTAAGAAATGGAGGAAAAACTAGTGGAAATTTGGCAGGAGCACCCGTTTGTCGAAAAAAAAAAGTTTTGGTGAAATTGCTAATTCTTTTCAAAACCCAGGTGAGCAAATAAGTACATATCTACCCCACAAGGCTTCTTTCTCATTATAAAATTTATAATAAATATACTACATGACATTGCATTGTTTCAATGTCACTTCTCAGGTTGTAAGAGACATAGTTTGCGACCTGAGACAAAGTTGTCAGTGATTGTAAAGTCATGCTGTGGGAAAAACCTCAGCCGCCAATCCATTTTGCAGTGTAAACAAATCAGCAACGAATAACTACCCCACATAATCATGCAGTGTGAACACATCTGTGACGGGGCTATTTTGAAAATTGTGCAGTCTAAACTCGGCATTAAACTTTACATCTTCGTATGTAGGTTTTGGCTTTTGCAAATCATTTGTGCTGTGTTCCATGCCCAAAATTGCACTTGATCTTAATACAACTACTAATACATTAATACAACTGTGTCACAATTAGACCCTTGTCCTTATTTGACTGTCCTTATTTTAAACATGTAATCATAAAACCTCATCCTCCAAACACTGATGAATTATGCAAAAAACTAAGAAACAGCTTAAAAATAGTATATTATTAGAACAATAATATAGTGGAGTAATATAGCAGAGTGCCTTACCTTGGAGTTAGGACTTTGTTCTCACATACTCATTGAATCAACTCACCAAGCAGGAAGAAATAAGAATCTTCTAAAATGACATATAAAGGTTATAAATAATAAAAAAAGAAGAAGAAGAAAAAAAACTCTGAGTTGGTGACATAACTCTGGGTTAGCAAGACATCATGTGAATTAATGATACATATGTCCTGATAAAGTAAAATAGAGAGAGAGAGAGAGAGAGAGAGAGAGAGAGAGAAAGAGAGAGAGAGAGACATTGGAAAGCATAATAAAATGGGTTGACACAATAATGTTCATATTGCTAACAAAAACAGACTCTACTTAAGTGTATCTGTGTAACATGAATGGACACTGACAACAGGTACGGATTCAAATGCAGGTTTATTACACAGACAATGGTCAGAGAGGCAACAGTCAATACAGGACTAAAGAGATGTACAGGGGCAATCCAGAGACGTGGTCAGTAAACAGGCAGATGGTCAAAAGGCAGGCAGCATACAGGAATAAACAAACAAAAAGTAAAGATCAGTATACGGCAAGACTAGGCAAGATAAATGTGTCGTAATGTTCACTATACATTTCAACAAGACTCAACAACTTCTTTGTTTTTATGTGCTGAATTTATAGTCCATGCAATTAGTTGCATGAGTAGCTTCAGCAAATCATGGTGATCTAGGCCAGATGTGTGGGTGGGAACATGACTGGATCTTGTAGTCCATTAAATGGCGGATTTGTAGTTCTATGCAATGTTCTTCAGCAATCTCTGATGGTTAGATCGCTGGTGACTGTGACAATCTGCTTTGAAATAAACATGCCAAGTTATAGTTTCTACTAGAATCTGCATTGATAATTCATCTACCATAACAGTAACATATATTTATTTATTTATTTTGATTTGCTTGTGCTTTTGTATAAGCTTTATATTTTGCAACACATTTTTTATTATTAAATTGACGATGCATAGGCAAACATACATTCACATATTCAGTAACTCAGTTATAAAGTGGATGTAGTCTATGAATATGACCAAAGAAGCTGATACAGTCTGTCCTTGCTGTTGTTGACAGGAGCAGTACAGGTTCTGCTATGAGCTGGCTCTGGAGTACCTGGACTGCCTGGAGGTCAGATAACACAAGAGCTCAACACTTGATCAACACTGGCTTCGACTTCTACTTGCCTCTTCTTCTTTTTTTTTTTTTTCTTTTCTTTTCCTTTTGCTTGGGTCAGTACAGCCCATATGAATGAGCCTTTATGTCCTCCAGTGAGAAGGCACATCTACTATAAGAGTGGGAATGCAAAACTTGGCACATTTCTTAAACCTTTAACCTCTATTGTCTTCTGTGCTATTTTTGTTTTTGACATTTTCTGTGCCAGATATTCCTGCCAAACCCTTGAGGACACTGATGAGATTTCAACAGCTTTGAGATTATGACATATATCTTTGATAACATGACTAGCTCTGAGCTCTGCCTCTCTCTGCCTTATACACCAAGCAGGAGGAAAACACACTGAATTTTAACGAAACCATGGGGCTGCAACAGTGGCAACATGAGTGATATTGTGTTTGTACATTAAGTGTATTGTTTAACTCTCTATGGAGCGATCTACTGTGGTGATTTTAGTAGAAAGCTTACCATGAATTTGAAGAGACAGTGGCTCATGTAAGTTTACGTTTTACTGAATTTACTTAAAAGGTGATGTGTGTAATTTTTTGATGTTAATAATTTGCTGGGATTGGTTGAAGTGTTGAGACAATGAATTGATTCTTGTCAAAATTGAAACACCTTTGCACTAATTAAACATTATTTGAATTGTTGATCAACCAATGGCATGCGTTTGGGGTGTCAATATTTGTTTGTCTGACAAATTACAGATCGAGAATTTTTTTTTTTCTTTTGCAAAAGTGTAATATTTGTGGCAAAAAAAGTACACACTTCACCTTTAAGTCAAAGTGACATTTAAAAATTGAAAGTGTCCGAATTTGGACAGGCAAGTCGGAACTATAGGTATGGAGATGGTTTCTGGGGTTAATTCTTGTTTTTTTGTGTGTGTATATAGGGTATATTTTGCAAAAAAAAAAAAGAAGAGAGAGAAATGTTTCTCGATGTTGTCTTTAATGTGCCAACTCATTTTGTATGTGTGTGTGCGTGTGTGTGTGTGTGAGAGAGAGAGAACGCATGTGTGTATGCGTGTGCAAAGATCACTCATGGATCTGCATGCCTGTTTCATGTTTTAATGCAATCCATTGTGACCCGTCTGCTTTGGGTGTCGCTGCCCACTGTCATTGAGCACAGTAAAAGAAAAAGATTTGCGCAATTATATAAACAAAAATGCTACTATTGGAATACAGTGAGGCTCCTCACAAAAACGTTGCTTTTTATCTTTGTATTTATTGGTTGTGTTTTATTTTCTAAAAAAAAAAAGTGAACGAATAAAACATTCCGATGTTACTTTTAAATTGTTGTCATTATTGTTGTACATTTTCTTTTCTTTCACAGAACAAATTCCTGTTGATGATGTCAGATAGCTTTGATAGGAAGATACAGTATGTAATGAATTGCAATCAACAAAATTTAATTCAGATAACTGTTAATGTGATAATATTTATACAACTATCAATACTTTTTTGAGCCACCCTTAGCCTCAGAAATAGCCTGTATTCTCCTGGGTTGTTGTTCTAGTCACGGTATGTATGGCAGGATGTAAGTACAAGGTGACAGAAAGTATTATATATTACAAAGGAATAGAACACATCGCAACTATGTCAAACAATCTACAAATAAAATGAATGTGTAAAAATCAAGACCAGTCAATGAAAAAAGAAAACTAATAAGGGTTCGTTTTTTCCTTCTTTTGTATACTGTTCCAAATCAATACTTTAAAAACAGTACTGGTGCCTGAAGTGATACTTTTAGAAAATACACAAAAAAGATAGGCTCTTTTACACATAATATATGTTTTTCTGTTTGCATTTCTATGCTGAAGTACATTTTTTAAATAATAAATAACGATAGAAATGTCTCTAAATCAAATATTTTTTTTAAAACAAATAAAAACATACCCTTAACTCCAAGACTATACAATAGTTTATGATTTGGGTCATTCCAAAACAAAGTTTGATGCAAAACAGCTCTTAGTGTTTCTATCTCTATAAGATGCTCAAATAGGTTAGATTACATTTTCAAGCAAGCAGGGCTTTACACAGAACTTTAGTTAAAATATTAAAGGATGGTAACAAATAATGAATTCACTAGATGCTAATGCTTAGTAAATGATTTATAGTGTGTAGTTATTATAAAGTGTTACCTAAAGGATTACTCTCCATTTAATGATTACACCAATATGGTGTCAGGTGATGCAGTGGCGCTGTAGGCAAGAAAGTCGCTGGTTTGAGCCTCGGCTGGGTTAGTTTAATAAAGGGACTATAAGCCAAAAAGAATATAAATGAATAAATATGGTGTCAGCTTTGAAAAAAAAAAAGGTGTAATGGAAGTCAATAGGGCAAAAAAAATTTAAAAATAAAAAAAAACGCCACAAACGTGTAGTTAATTTGAACAATACACAAGGGTTTAATACAAAGGGATAGTCAAAACAAAAATAAATAATGATAAAGAGTTATATGTATAAAGGTTGTCAACCATTTCTATCTTAAAATAAGTAAAACACACACATGGAAGTTGTCTGGTGAAAAAGAATAAATGTAAGTAAAAACGAATTTTTATAAATATGTATTATTTTTCTAGGCAATTAGTGTTGTATTTACGAACAAAGTTACATATAAAACAAATGGTTAGAAATAAAATAATTATTAAAAAATTAAAATTATTAATGCATTCAACATACTGCGGTGGTATAACATAAGGCCCAGTGGGTAGCACTTTCGCCTCCCAGCAAGAACCTTGGCTGGGTCAGTTGCTGTTTTTGTGTGGAGTTTGCATGTTCTCCCACGTGTTCGCATGGGTTTCCTTTGGTTGCTCTAGTTTTCCCTACAAGTCCAAAAACATGTGTTATAGGTGAATTGGGTAGGCTTGTCTGTAGTGTATGAGTGTGAATGTTTCCCAGCTGGAAAAGCATCTGCTGCGTAAAACATATTTTGGATAAGTTGCCAGTTTATTCCACTGTGGCAACCCCAGATTATTAAAGGGACTAAACCGAAATGAAAATGATTGAGTAAACAAATAAAGCCTCTACAGGCTTGTTTTGAGAGCATTAACTAATGCACAAAAAGTGCAGCAAAGGCACATCTCTATGACAGTCTTGTTAAGATGATACAGAAGAGCATTCCAAAGAGAAGCTTTTTTTCACCCCACACCCTTCATCCCTTCGAAGCTGTCACTTTGTAGGGTAAACCCTTTGAAGGGATTAGGCCATAGTGGTTGGCTGTTTCCAATTCCAAGAATGCAGAGAACGGACTTGCGTTCTTGTAGAGACCGGTTATGCCAGGTGTCCTCAGATAAACGAACTCAGGAGACCGCGAGGGCAGAGAATGCATCCTTTGAGAAATGAGATGCTGCGTTCTTCTTGATGGTCACATGACCTTCACGCGTTTTAAATGGTATATTATTTAAACATTACAGCATTCATACAATGACTTATTGTTTTTCCCCTTTTCAAAATATATATGTTGCATAAAAACATTGTAAATATACTCTGCACAATATAACTAAAACAGATTTTAATACGAATTTCAGCCAACAAACACCCTTAATGTGTTTATTCCTTTATTAAGATGTTCATGGTGATGTTTGCTTTCACCGTTTCATTTAGGGAAACTACTGGCGTAAATAAATGATATCTCTGAACTTTAATAATAAATCTAAATAAAATGCTGCGCTTCCCACCTCCACTCGCAATGACTTGAATTCGGTGCTCAAGTCTGCATCAGTGCATCCTCGATATCAAGATTACATCCGGAAAGTTTCACGCGTCCTCCGTACTTGCGGTCTTGAGTATTGGAACTGAACTTTGGCAGCTGATGATGATGTTGCAGTAGAACACGAGGACGCAAGACCGCTGAAGAACGCAAATGGAGAAACAGCGATTGAGCCCTTTTAAATGGAACCCAGCAATCGTGTGTCTGACTTCTGGTGTTTAACTGGGGCTTGGAAAACATATTCCACCACCTGCTGGATTGTAGTATGTGGCACAACCTAAAGCAAACTGTTTCAGGATACTGTACATTTTTAAATTGAAGTGACAAAAACTCTAATTTAACAGTGAAAACTTACCAGGTTATGTTGAATTATCTGTAATAACAAACAAATGATCTCCCAATCATGTAGCATCTTTCTTTAAATTGGCTGTCAAAATGTTCTGTCATTTTTCTGCTGCAATCATGTGCCGTATCTTCAGTGAAGAATAACGTGCCTATCCCAGAATAAGTCATGCAAGCCTAAGTCGTGACATTACCATTGTGTTCTTCGGATAAGCTTGTATAGATTGGGATCATGAGCATATTCTTTCTCCAAAATTGAGCCTTTCTATTAATTTGGTAAAGGGCAATTTTGTCTCATCAGTCCATAAACCTTTGAGGCTCGTCTCTTTGATGAGTGGCCAACTTCTCTGTCCAACAAGCTTTCAGTCATGACACTCCCCTGTCAATGTATGCACTCTTCAGGAAAATAACAACTGATTTCTTAAAGACTGACATACAGACTTTAGACAGAAGTAGATATAAGGGTCTGGAATATGCATGTATTCAGGATGTGAGATTAACTCTAAATAAAAAAAAAGGTAGAAGCTACAGCCTACAAGTCTAGTGGTGAGTTGTTTAGATCATTTAAATCTATTTAAAATGTAATATGTTGATTCCCGAACATGATTCACAAAAACACATAAATGTTGCCACATAGACAACAAGACAAAACTATAATGCATAAATAAAATTATAAGAGAAAGTAAAGATTAATTCATTATTTTACTCGGTCTCTAGGCTATAGTTTAGATTAGCTATTTCACCTGTTATCTTTTGATTTCTCCTGTAATTATTTTGCCACGGCACATCTCCATAAACATTCTGGTTATGCCCATAGCGCACATTTCCTAAAAGAGGGTTTCATGTTTCATGCCGCAGTCAGAGTTTGAAGCAAAGAAAACACACATCTCTGTAACTTGTGTTACAGACGTAACCTGAATGTTCCCTATCAGGTTGGGAACTCCAACATGTCTTAGACACCTTTGAAAGTGTATGGAAAGTGCCACAGCAGCTGTTGTACACTTGGTGTGAAGTTTGCCAAGCATCACGTGAGCACACCACATCACCAAAAGTGCAACTTTCCAATGTCCCCAGGCTCTTTATTTACCAGAAAATGGGAATAACTTAATTTGTGAGTCATATATTATGCATTTACCTAGTTAGCTGTAGTCTAGGGATTTAAAAAAATTTGACAGTATGCTGGGGAAGGGTGCGTGTATATTTTGGTCACTAGATTTCAAGTTTAGAAACAGTAATTTAAAATGTAAAATGAGGCGTTTTTGATCATTCACAAACAGAGGAGTGCATATTAATGACCCCAGAGCAGCATACTTTATCAGTGTGGGTTTTGACTAGTGATCTCAAAACCTGATCCAAAGTAAATGCAAATGATGAGGGTGTGCCCTGTGTGTCACGCAGCAGTCTATTCTGTGTTCTGATTATTGTCCACTGGGATTTTACACTGGTGGATTTTACATGAGAAGGGGAAATGGTGTCTGAGGCTCACAGTATGGCCATTCTCATACACTGATCTCTTATTATTTGATTGCGCCTAGGTACACTTAGATTTTCTTCATAGGGTGCCTTTAAGACTGGATAGGCAAAGTTGTAGACTGCAGATTGCAGTGGAATATGTGTGACCATAGCATCAAGAGATTTATAGCCTAAAAACAAGCATATTTTGTTAGTTTAATAAATTAAGTTTTGATGAACAATGAATTGAATGCTTTTATAATTATCATTGTAAAATGTTTTACATGTGTTGTTTTTTTTTTTTTTTACATTGACAAATTATGCCTTAATAAGTACACAGGCACGAGGGGGAGACTTCCGGGTAGACGATGGAGTAAGACGTTGGTTGTGTAGCTCCGCTTACTTTCACTCAAATTTCATAAAAACAAGACAACAAAAAGCTCGTCAGTGATCTCTAATCCTTTATAGTGTTGCATACGTTCAATATACGTTGCAATTTGCGTGTTTACAAATGCCGTCGAAGAAAGCAGGAAAGAAAGATGTCGCTGAGGGAGAAAGTTCGGCCGAGAGCAAGAGCGCGTTGGAAGAGACCAGCTCAACAGCAAGTAACGACCCGGTGTTGCTGGCAATTGAATCTCTCCGAGTGGAGATGCTCAACGTTAAAACTGACATTAAAGAAAGTTTGAAAGGAGAGATTGCGACGCTGGAAAAAAAAATTGATACAAAGTTTGACGCAATGCAGATAACCATAAATGAGCACCGTGCAACTCTCCAACAACTTGAACAGAACG